AAGGCGACAATCCCCATCCTGGAAGGGATGGAGAGCCCTATCGCTGGCTCAAGACGTCCGACGATGAGGAAGCCATTCGTTGTATGAAGGACCAGACTTTGACGCTGGTCCTGAAGATGGACTGCGTTGGGGATGCTCGTCCTCTGATGACGACTTCGCTGATGAAGCCGTTCGTCATACGAAGGACCAAGATTTGACGCTGGCCTGAAGTTGAAGGGCGACGCTGGACGCACGTCCCTTGATGACGACGGTGTTGATGAAGCCATTCTTCATATGATGGACCAGGCCTTGTGTGGATTGTTGCGCTTACCACTACACTAAAACCAATCGCTGATAGTGTAGCACGCTTCTCCCCCTTTATAGCACAAGCGAAGCGCCATGCGGTTCGATTGCACCGGCAGGCTGGCAGATTGCTGGCACCGCATACCCACGGCCCAATAATCTCCCCGCAGCACCTCCCAGCCTCAACTCCGCAACATGTTGTTGACTGGGGTCGAACCCGTGACCTTGGCTCTGATACCACTTGTGGATCGTTGCACTTACCGCTACACTAAAAGCAATCGCTGATAGTGTAGCACGCTTCTCCCCCTTTAGAGCACAAACGAAGTGCCACACGGTTCGATTGCACTGGCAGGCTGGCAGATTGCTGGCACTGCATACCCGCGGCCCAACACTTTGAAGCCGGTTCTGAAGATGGACTGTGTTGGGGACGCTTGTCCTTTGATGACGACGGCGCTGATGAAGCTGTTCGTCATATGAAGGACCAGGCTTTGTGTAATACCCAAGATTAATTTAAGAGGATTGATAGTACTACTCATACCAACAGAGGTGCATCTCCTTTTAAGGGAGCTCATCACCCAAGAACTCCAAAGTTAAGCGTGCTTGCACGGGAGTAGTCTTGGGATGGGTGACCCCCTGGGAAGTTTCTCAGGGCGCGCATGAGTGAGGACAAAGTGTGCGGTAAAGGCTCGTGGTGGTTTGTGGGGACAGTACTATTGGTCCAGAGTAACTACCTCGGGTCTGGTGGGGCCGGGGTGTTACAGGTGGTATCAAAGCAACCCTGCGACAGTGTGTTGACCCGTTAGATATCGGGTGGGCACTTAGCGGGGCAAGATTCTGGGGTTTGATTGAGATAGTTAAGGGCGCAACGAGGACGTTGCGATCCTAAGTGGGGGTGATTGTAATACCCAAGATTAATTTAAGAGGATTGATAGTACTACTCATACCAACAGAGGTGCATCTCCTTTTAAGGGAGCTCATCACCCAAGAACTCCAAAGTTAAGCGTGCTTGCACGGGAGTAGTCTTGGGAGAGCGCATGAGTGAGGACAAAGTGTGCGGTAAAGGCTCGTGGTGGTTTGTGGGGACAGTACTATTGGTCCAGAGTAACTACCTCGGGTCTGGTGGGGCCGGGGTGTTACACTTTGAAGCAAGTCTGAAGTTGAAGGGCGGCGCTAGACGCACGTCCCTTGACGATGACGGCATTGATGAAGCCGTTCGTCATACGAAGGACTAAGCTTTGATGCTTGCACGAAGTTGAAGGGCAGCACCAGACGCACGTCCCTTGATGAAGACGGCGTTGATGAAGTCGTTCATCATATGATGGACCAGGCTTTGAAGCTGGTTCTGAAGACGGACGACGTTGGACGTCGCCTGATGATAAAGGACGGTGATGATGAAGGCGTTTGGATGCTCGTATAAAGATGAGGGACAGCGGAGCCTTGAGGGACTCGGTCCCTTTGGAGGAAATCGTGCACTCTGTTCGTTTCCTCGGCCCGGGAACAAGCCGATGCCTGTCTCCCTTTGGGGGATGGCGCGGAAAGGGTCGTCAGGGATGGTTTTGTCTGTGCACTTGGCACAAAATGGCCGGGGGTACTTGGTACCCCTCAGTGTGATACTTGGTATCGTCTTGAATTAGAGCTCCCTCAAGGAGGACGGCTTGAATGAGAATTATAAGTCCCCATAGATAGAACACTTGGTGCTATGACGTAGTCGATGGTGGGCTTGACCGTCGGCCTAGCACTTGGTACCGTCAGTTGGCCGAGGGCAAACCTCAGCTGATAAATTGCGTCATCGGGGTGACGGCTTCTTGGAGGCGCTCTTGTGTTCAAATAAAGATCACCAGAGGCCAGGTTGAGGGACCCAAAGCAAGCTCGGATAAAAAAATGACCGAAATCGGCCGTGAGCCCAAGAGCTTTGGGACGGCCCCGCCGGCGACGGTGGTGATAATAGAATATAATAATAATAGTTACATTAAATAATAATAGTAATAATCATACTACTACTACTACTATTTAATGTTTAATGCATTAGGAGTACTGGGCTGCTTGGGTACTTACCCGGGATCTGAGCTTTCAATGCCCTTGGGGTAAGAGGTGTCCTCGTGCGGAGTTGGATGACAGGCTCCCCCTGTCTTGGTTTCCCGCCTAAGGGTGGAGACGTTCGTCCCCGCCTATACGCCCTGCTTCATGCCATACTAGGTACGTTCGTCCTCTGGGAGATCCCATGTATGGAGGTTGTACGTCGTAATTGACTTGGGCGGCTAATGGACCACCCTGAGAGTATTCGTCCCCAGGTTGTTGGGCCTTTGGGACGGCCGTATGATAGGTCCCACCGTCCCAGGGGCTAATGAGCCGATCTTGTTTGGGCCATTCGACCAACACAAGGAAGTTCCTCGCTCCTTAGGTTTCAGCCAAAGGTTAGGGACGAGCGTCCCCAATGTTGGGGACGAGTATCCCTATTCTGATGAGTGTTTTTTGTTTTTTTTCGAAGGGAGGGGTTCTTACTCGATTGTTCGATCTCTCAACGAGAGCACCAAATGACGGATGATATATCCGGGGGATACCGCTGGGGGTTTCTAGAGAGAAGTCAGAACAAGTAAGAGAGAGAGAGTAGTGTATATTAAGTGAAGTTGTTATTCTATTATGGGATCTGGGATCCTTTACAATGAAGAAGGGACTAGCTATTTATAGCAACCATAGATGTTAGGTGCAATAAGTGAGGGTACACGAGGCAAGTAACCAGCGGTGGAGAGTCAACTCAGCCAGGGTGGCGTCGACATAGCACGTGGCCGCATTCAATGCGGCGGTTGGACGTGACACCGCATTTAATATGGTGATTCAGAGCATGTGGAGAGGAGATCTTGTCGAGGAGAGTGCCCTCGGCTACATGCACCCGGGGGCTGCATGTGCCGAAGGCCGTGTTTCCACATATGAGCCAAAGGCTGCCTGTGCCGAAGGCCATTCGTACCTAGTTGCCATTTGGGCCTTGGTGGCGTGCTGGGGACGTACGTCCCCTGAACTAGGGGGAAGCGTCTCCAGTTGCCCTAAGTTCTTGGAGACGTCTGTATTGCCTTTAGACGACGCTCCTGACGTGACGGTGACTTCCTTAGCATGGTTTCCCGCCAATGGGTGGCGACGATCGTCCCCTGGGGTCGTACGTAGCTGGGGAGGGCCGTCATGTGTTAGAGGTCGTACGTAGCTGGAGCTCTTCATGTATTAGAGGTCGTACGTACCCAGGGCCCTTGATGTGTTAGAGGGAGTACGTACCCAAAGCTCTTCATGTGCTTAAAGGTCGTACATCCCCTACACATTGCTGTAGCGTGGGCTGTCCGGAGTCTTGTTTGCAGTATTTGGGCCACTTGGGCCTATTGGGCCTGATTGTAGTAGTGGAAGTATGTGGGTCGGGGGTTCCTGGGCCATATACTCCATCAGATATGACATTTAAGTTGTCTAGTGTAATGCTCATTTTAACATGAACATTACACCAATATCAAATGAGCATAGTTAATTTACGAAATGAGCATCGAAAATTTAAAAAGCTCATTTTAAATCTCGAGTATGCTTAAATATCAATTTGTGTATGCAATAAGCTCATACTTGTAGATTATAAAAACGAACTGATTCCCTATTTTAGACCAACCAATTTTATTAAGTAGGAGTTCAAAATTAGAGGAACAGAAGACATAAAGTCTATATAAAAAGAAAAATGAAAAAAGGAAGCAAAAAACAGAAAAAGAAAAGTTGAAGTTAGAAAAGTTAAAGTTCAAAATCAAAAGAAAAGGAAAAGAAAAAATCAAAATCAAAAAGACAAAAGAGAAAACGTGAAGAAAAAACGGAAGAAATGCAAACAAAAAAAGAAGAAGAATAAGCAAAAGAAAAGAAAGAATGGAGAACGTAGGAATTAAGATGAATGAATGTGAGTGCCTCGTGGAAAAGGAAAGCACTTCTGTACCTCAATTTATTAATTATCCTCAAACTTGCTGTTAATTTGAAAAAAAACTGGTGTAGTATCTCTCTGGTGCCAACTTCCCTCCAAAAACTTGCAGAACCGCCTTCTTCAAACTGCCTTCTTCAAATTATCTCTTTCCTTTTCCCGGCTTTGTTTGCCAACAAAGTTTCATGTAGAAATGATAATCGACGAAATATCATCGCAGAATCCCCGGCGATTCGGCCACGATGATCCTCATTCTCAAATATGCTCTCAAATGGAGTTGTCAATCAAGGAAATTGAACGGCACTCGCCGGGAAATCCATTGCCGGGGGCCCTCTCCGCGGAGCTTCAGCGCTGCATTGTTCAGCTATCTCCGCTCGTACCGCTTCCCAACTCAACCAAGCTCCAGATATGGAAACTCAGCTACCGCCTCTGGAACGCCTGCGTCGACCTCTCTAATGCCGCAGGAGTCAAATCCTCCGCCTACAAACTCAATGAAGAACACGCGAAACTACGGCAAGTCTCCGCTGACCTACTTTTCCTTGCTGGAGATGTACCTGGTATTCCTTCACCGGCTTTTAAGACCGCCTCCTTCTTCTACAAGACCGGCCTTATTTGGCACGAGCTCAGGAAACACGACCTCGCTAACAATTGCTTTGAGAAAGCTACGGATCTAACATCAAAAATAGAAATCAGTTCGGTTTCAGATGGCGAAGAAAAAAAGCTTTTATTAGACATCAATATTGCTCGAGCCCGAACAGCTTGGGAGGTCGGGGATCGTAATTTATGCATCACTTTATTAAATCGTTCGAAGAACCTACTCTTTGGTGTTGCAGAGAACTACAGAGCTCTAGCAAACCAGTATTTGATATTTGCAAGGACCCTACTTGCAAAAAGAGAAGTTTCCGGAGTGAATGAAGAATCAAAATTGATGAATGAAGCACTAGAGTTATGTGAGAAGGGATTGAGAATAGTAAAAAGGAAGGATGAGATATTAGCTCTGAAGGATCTGAAGTCAAAGACACTTAGATTTATGGCAGCATCTCATTTGCAGAGAGATGAATTTGAGAATGCATTGAGATGTGTGAAATTTTTGAGAAGTGGTGAGACGGATGAGCACCCTAGTCTCAGTGTGCTGGCCATGAAGGCTTGGTTAGGGTTGGGCAGGTTCGGAGAAGCAGAGAAGGAGCTAAGGGGGATGGTGTTGGATAATGGTATTCCGGAGGGGATTTGGATTTCAGCAGTAGAGTCATATTTCCAAGCTGTGGGGGCTGCAGGAGCTGAAACAACGAAAGGCGTATTTTTGGGACTTCTAGGAAGGTGTCATGTCAGCGCCGGTGCTGCACTGAGGATTGTGAGTAAGGTGATTGGAGACGGAGGATATGATGGAAAGGATGCAAGAGTGAGGGCAAAGGTGGTGGCTGAGCTGGCATCTGATGACAGAGTGGTGGAACTTTTCTCTGGAGAGCCATCTGCCAAGGAGAGGACTGCCATGCATGCTATTCTTTGGAACTGGTAAATTTACGAATATGGCCATTATTCCCTCTTCAAGTGTTTGAATGTTTTAGTGTCCTTTTGGTAAGAGTTGTTTGGATGAAATCCGCTGCACTTTTAGAATTGAATAATGTTCCTCGAAATCCGTTTCTGTCGAATAAGTGGGTCAAAAACTACTTATTCTGATTACGTGGTTGATAAGTAGAATAAGACAACTAATTGATGTCACCAAATGGGGCCTTACATGTCTTGCATTGCTATTGTCATGAGCAGAACACAGCATTCTATGGTAGCTTTCAGTATTCTACATTTTTTAAAATGGTAAGTAAGTTTGAAAGAAGTTAGTAGATTTATCAGGACCAAAATCACAAATAATGTGATTTAGATAAGTTCTCGCTACTGCTTTGTCTTTTTCCAGGAAACATTTGAATATCATACTCTTCCAAGTTCAACCACAGAGTATCTGGTAGAGAATTTTGTTCCTTTTAGATCTTTTATTTGTGCATAACCATACGAGCTACCATACTCCCAAATCAAGATAAACAACCAAAAGCAGTGGCCCTTATTCAATTGTTTAAATTACTAAATCTGCAGTGCTGCTGAACATTTCCGCTCAAAAGATTACCAGACCAGCGCAGATATTTTTGAGAAAGCTATGCTTTATGTTCCTTATGATATGGAAAGTAGAACTCTCAGGGCAAATGGCTATAGAGTATTGTGCCTCTGTCATCTTGGCCTCTCGCAGCTTGATAGAGCTGAAGAGTACATTAATGAGGCTGAAAAGGTATGTTTAATATGATGACTGAAAAAGAAAAGTTTCTGCTCTCTCCAGTTTTGATCTAATAATACTTTATACAACTTGCAGCTTGAACCAACTATAGCCTCAGCCTTCCTCAAGGTGATCTTTCATCGATCTCTCACTTGTCAAGGAGTGCCTAGTTTAAAATCTGTTTAGATTTTTACACTTATCCTGAATCTTGCAGTTTAAGGTGTACCTACAGAAAAAAGACAACACTGCTGCCACTTCCCAGGTTAAAGCAATGTTGAGTTGCCTAGATTTCACTACTGACTTTCTCTTGCTCGCAGCTCATGAAGCTACAGCTTGCCATTCACTTCCAGTTGCCATTGCTTCTTTTTCACATATCTTAGACTTCTATTCCGCCGGGAAACAAATACCAACCTCTGAGGTAGTGATTTTCCGGACATTAATTGAACTTTTATCTCAAGATCATAACAGTGATTCTGATATCCTTACAATTGTGAAACGAGCTTATGCCCGAATGTGTGAACTTGGACCAAAAGCCTTTTTTGGGAATGGTGAAGTTGGTAGACGAGAAAGAAATTGGTTTTCTGTGAGTGCTTGGAATTCCGGAGTAAGAACTGGAAAGGAGAAAAAGTATGACTTATGTGCAGAATTCTTCAGGTTGGCATCAGAATTTTATAGTGTTGTGACTGATGAAGAAACAGAGGGGAACACTGTAATGGTTTGCCAATCACTGATATTGGCTGTATCTTCCATTATTGCTGATGAGAAGTACAAAAATGTTACACTAATGGAAACTGAAGTCAAACAGGCCATTGCAATGCTTGCTAGGGTGCAGAAGGTAATTTAAACTACCCCTGGTCTTAATTGTATTTATCTAAATCAGATGCATTAAGAAAGTTGAGTGATGCTACCCCGTCCCAAATTAATCTTCCCACTTTGAATTGTCACGCTCATTAATAAAGTGAAAATGTATGATAGTAGTTGAGGTAAAAAAAAGGTGAAAGAGTGTTATGGGACATCTCAAAAGTGGGAAGGAAATTATGGGACAGATGGAGTACTTAATAATGAATGAATCATAACTTATAACAATCACGGAGTATATTTAAACCAGTCACGTGTACTTGGTAGATCTATTTCCATGTTTAGCAAAGTACTTGTATTTAATTCTTTGAAGGATGAAACTCAAATGCCGTGAAGGATAAATCCATAACACAAAAATTCCCTCTTTGATTTAAGCCTTGGGGTCATGCTAACCACACAACCTGTAGGTCTGTGGTTGAACATTAATGAAAGAATAATAGTTTTCACAATTTTCATAAATGAACTAAATCATCAAATAATAAAATCCGAACAAAAAATAATACATCAAGTTACACCATTAAATCATTAATCTTAATAGCTTTGATTGTCTCTTGAAAGTTACCTGAAATACTGGAATATTCTACCAGCATTGTAGCTTCCATTTACTTAAACCAATCGCGCATTCCATGTTTATCAATATATTTTTATTTCGTTGGAGGATGAAGTTAAAGTAGAAAAACAATTATATCTATCACAGGTTTACTAAATGGACAGATAAAGAGTACCTCAGAAAAACTTCCATAAATAGAACCAGTGGAAGGTAGTATCATTGAAGAGTAGCAGCGTTATCAACTTCAGTAGTGTTGTTCGACGTACAAATCGATATTTAATGTCTTCTATTTTGCTTTGATTTGAAGTTACTAATGTTTATAAATGCAGATAATAACGTCAACGGCAGGTGAAAATGACAATCTGTTAGCAACTATTGGGCACGACTTATTCTTTTCATACATATGGTGCGCTTATGATCTCTATGGGAGGCTGGATGGAATGGGTCCCCAACAGCTTCTCCTAATAAAACAGTTGGCCAGCTCAAAAGGCAGCAACCCTGACCATCTTCTCCAGATAGGCCTCGATGCCGCACAAGGACCACGGTCAAACCACGAAGTAGCATCGTTAGCACTAAACGCATGCCTTTCTGCCCTCCTGGCTGCCCCACTGCCTGACTACACAACCGTCGCCCTCGTCCTCAGAAAACTAATCTCTCTCGGGACCATCCGGTTAGGCGATGCATGTGATGACAGTGTAATGGAATTGTATAAGCAAGCATACAGGATTATGGTGGGGCTGAAGGAAGGGGAATATCCAGTTGAAGAGGCGAAATGGCTGTCTATGACTGCGTGGAACCGGGCAGCCGTCCCGGTGAGGGTGGGGCATATAGATACGGCCAAGAGGTGGATGAGTATGGGGTTGGAGTTAGCTAGGATGGTTCCGGGGATGGAGACTTATAAGTCGTGTATGGAAGAATTTCTTGCAGGCTTTGGAGAGAAGATTGATGGGCAGGGTGACACTACTAGAAGCAGTGGTAAGTTAGTCAGCTGATGCTAATTCTTCCTTCTGTAAAGATTGATCAATGGATGGTCTAGTATCAATAGGCTATGGGGCATTCAGGCCCGCCTCAGTATTCTTAGCCTCTGTTTTGCTAGATTTGAATCAGCATTTAGCATCATAGCTAGATGAGTTGGATAAGTTTACGCGGTTGATCTATAGTTCTTTACCGTCCAATTTAGCCAGAAGAGCAAGGATTAGTATTTAACAGGAAGAAGACAACTTTTTAGTTACAGGAGAAAATTCATTTCCTTAAACAGGAAGAAGACAACTTTTTAGTTACAGGAGAAAAGAGGAGAAGACAGGTAAAATGGCTGGGTTTGGGTGGTTGATTAATGCAGAAGCTAAGATTATGGTTAAAGGAGAATTAATCATGGGACTAAAAAATCATTTAGTCGAGCTAATCGGTGAAAGGGTGTGGGAGATATGGGTGTACAGTGAAGATTAGGGTAACGAGAATGACTGGAAACTGGAAAATACAGATTTAGTAGATAAAGTTATGAATTTAACTACACACTAATGAGTGTCCAATATGATATAATAACCTTAATGTCTATTTTAAGCCTTCTTCCTAATATCAGTAAAAGTATCTGATAGGAGAATGTATAAGGATCACTTATATCAACAATAAGTCAATAACATAATTCATTCATTATTTAAATTTATTTGTCACTAAATATTGTTTAAAAAAAGTTTTGCCATCACCCCAATTTTTTGGAAGTAGGTACAATTAATTTCATGCATTAGTATTTCTGAAAGGAATTACATGCATCAGTTTTAGTAAGTGTTATTTCATGCATTAAATTTTTAAAATATGAATTTTTATTTTTATTAATAATGAGAAATGAAGTATACCAATCTTAAAAGATGTGCGTTGATAAACATGAAAAATTGAAAATGAAAACATGGTAAAAAAACAAAGAACGGAAATATAAATTATAAATTATCAATGAATTTAGAGTTTATAAAAAAAGAATTTAATAATGCGAGAAGATATAGATATATTATGTAACTACTACGTATATTTTAGAGAACAAATATACTCTTCAATTTTCATTTGAAAAAATTACAAATAAAAATTGTAAAGTTAGAATAAATATATATTTTTTTTAATGATTAAGGAGTTTCTATGTGTAGAATTCTAGCTCCCAGCAAGCTCGTTCAATCCTCCATACTATTGGATGGTCTTCCATCTCCTGCCCACTGAAGAGAAGCATGGAGAGGCATGGAGAGGAGGCATGAGTTATAGCATGGACACCAATGAATATGTCTCCAACCTTGTCTATAAATAGGATGATCTTCCATTGTTCAAAGGCATCAAAAATCGTAGAGAAAAATGTAGTGAGAGTGATACACATATAATGAGTGTATGAAAGGGTTGATTTTTTGTAATAGTTGAGTGAGAGAGTTGTTCCTCCTATTGTAATCATGTTCTGGTTATGAATAGAAGAATTTTCCAATCCTAACACTATGCTCTTTGATATATAGCTAAGAGATATATATGGTATTATGTTATATAATATATCTTCCAAATTTAAAAGATGATGTGTTTAATTGATGGAAATGAAATTGAATAATATACTTACTTATTTTCTATTTAGAGCCCGATTGGTAATACCAAAATCGACTGATTCTGCTGAAACTTATAAATTTCTGGCTGAAATGACTAGATTGATTGATTCTAATGATTTATGTAAAAATTAAATTTAAAATATACGAAGTATTTATTAATAAAGTAAAGAAAAAAATATATAAAAAATAGCTAAATTGTTCAATCGATATAGTTAGAAAAGTAATTTTAAGCTAATGCTTCATTAAAAAAGAAAAAAAGTCAAGCTAATGCAGTGCACTATTTTGTACGTAGTATTGCATATTGTGTCATCCAAGTGCCTAAGAGATAGGATAATAAGATGAAAGACCAATGAAAGAGTGACACGTACGACACAGCACCGCAGGAACCACAAATTTCAGAGCAACTGCTGCCCAGTCATCACAAATTACACAAAAACCTTCTCTCTTCTTCTTCTTTCTTTCTGGTTGTTCTTGGGTTAAATCCCCAAATATCTTCCAAGTATGGCAGCAGTTGCTACAGCAATGGCCATCCAGATCAAGAGCAGCTTGCCTTCTTCTCTGACCAAAGCCTTTGTTAATCCAAAGGGCATTTCTGGAACCCCATTCAAAGTTTTTCCTCCAAGAAGAAACCCTTGCCTCATTGTCAAGGCTGTTCAGACTGATAAGGTAACATACAATATTACTTTTGCTTTACCATTCAACTTTAAGTCCGTCTTTAATAACATCAGCAATATAGTACCTTCATCAGTTAATCTTTCTGTTTTAATTTGCATTATTAAATCTTATTTTAGAAAAATGAAATTGTTTAGATTTATGTATTTAGAAGGTAGAAGGCATGTTTATCTACATGTTTTCCTCTAAAGAAAAAGGTATATGATTGAATATACTTCATATTTATTTTATATCTGGGTTTAATTTTGCTTATTAGATATTTATATAATTGGCAATACTACATGTTTAATTCGGTTTACATAAATCTATCTATCTTCTCAATGATACTACAATTAAAATTATACTCCGTATATGCTAGCCTTCCCTCAAGAAGGATTCACTTTTGAATTTGTGAAATTGTGAGATTAGATTTATTCAAGTGTCACTGGGACTGGGGTTGGACTGTTGGGGTTGGGGCAGGGGCTGGTTGGGGTGGGGCAGGGTTGTGTTCAACGGCGGGCGCAGGATTTCCCGGTAGGAGGGTTGCGGCGGTATAAAAAAGTACATACAAATACATATATATTAAAATTTACCGGGTAGTTATGCCTAAAAAAATTTGAGGGGGGGAGCATTGCCTTTGGGTGTGTCACCGGTGGAAGAGCGGGCAGTGATGCAATGGCAGAGCCAAGAATGGCAGGTTACGGGGGCCAGAGCTTAAGGAATTTATATGATGGAGGCCAAAGCTTAAATTTTTATTATACTTTACTACTTATAAAAATTTATACATAGGTATATACATCACAATTTTTTCCGGAGCCTCCCCTATCTCCACCCCTGAGTGATGGTCACAACTCGAATGGGGTTGGTCACTATTAGGATGGTAGTGGTCACTGGAGTCATTATAGGCGGCGGTGATGGTGACTAGCAAGGGTGATAGCAGTGACTAGTTGGGACAAAGAAGATGACAGAAAATCAGATCACTAAGTATCATTGGTCACTATGGTCATTGCGTGGATGGTCACTATGGTCTGCAGTGGTCACTAACTCATTGGTCAATGTGGCGTTGATCGGTTACGCCATGGAGACAATTGATTATTGCAGAGTTGATCACTCTAGTTGGGTTTAATAAGAGTGTAGTGACTAAATTAGCCTTTTAAATCACATTGTGAAAAGACAACTTTTTTATTCATTCTTTATTTTTTATTAATATTCATATCAAAACCTGTTTATATACTACTCCGTATTTTTTTAGTTTATAAAAAAATTAAAGAATTTGACTTTGTAATACTTCCTCCGTTCACTTTTAATTGCAATAGTCAACATTTCACGTTTGTCAACGCACAACTTTGACCATTAATATCTTTCATTTCTTATTAATAAAATTTTTTAAAAATTCATATTTTGAAAATTTAGAATGAGAAGAATTTAACAATATTTTTTATAAATTTAATTTATAATACATTAATTAATACTACTTTCGTCCCTTAAAACTTTGCCAAAGTTGACCGGCACGGACAATAATAAAGTAAAAACTGTGTGGTTGAGGTTTGTGCAGAGGAAACAGAAATAACAGAAACCACAAAATAATTGATTAAAAAGGAAAGTGCCAAAGTTTTTTGGGACGTCCCAAAAAGAAAGATGTCAAAGTTTTAAGGGATGGAGGGAGTAAAATATAGTCAAAGTAGAATATGTGAATAGTGCAAAAAGTTCAATGTTGCAATTAAATGAGAACGAAGGTAGTACATATTTTGAGTAGTATTTGACTTTGAATCATATTTTCAAAATCGTTAATGTATGCACATGAATTCACTGTAAAATAATTTAATTTTGCATGACATTTTTTCACAATTGTTGAACAGATGAAACATATAATAATTTATAAATGAGGTGTAAAGTCAATCCAAAATTAGCATCACTTTTGTTTAAAAATGAATTCCAAACGGAAGAATAGTTGTGATTTGGTTCCATTCTGTAGCCGACTTATCAAGTGATTCAACCATTGAACGGAGACCCATTCATCGGAAGCTTAGAAACGCCGATAACATCAAGCCCACTTGTCGCTTGGTACCTCTCCAACCTGCCGGCCTACAGAACCGCCGTGAACCCACTTCTGCGGGGAGTCGAAGTGGGCCTGGCCCACGGCTTCCTGCTGGTCGGCCCATTTGTGAAGACCGGCCCCCTGAGGAACACTGAGTTCGCCGGAGCTGCAGGGTCATTGGCAGCCGGAGGCTTGGTGGTGATCCTCAGCATCTGCTTGACAATGTACGGAATGGCGTCGTTCGAGGAGGGGGAGCCACCGTTGGCGCCGTCTTTGACGTTGACTGGCCGGCAGAAGCAGCCTGATCAGCTGCAGACGGCGGACGGATGGGCCAAGTTCTCCGGCGGGTTTTTCTTCGGCGGAATATCCGGCGTGATCTGGGCTTACTACTTGCTTTACGTCCTCGACCTCCCATACTATGTGAAGTAGATCGACTTTGATTATGTGTATTGATCTGTTTCTGGATGTAACATATGAATTGCTATGGACTGAACTGAAATTTACTCTTCCTAAGTGGATGGTTTGATATTTGTCTTAAGATTTCTTCTTTTTAATTTGATCGAGAGAAATATTACTCATTTGAAAATACAATATTGATGTCACATTCTTCCATGTGAGAAGGTCGTTTTCAACAAATAATGCAATTCTTTCTTATGGAGTTATGGTACTAATTCCACCGGGATGACAATATCGCTGCTTGGCAAATACGGGTTCAGCTCCTATCTATTTTTCATTCATTTCTTTTTCTCTTCCTATTTTTCTACCTTTTTTATCTTATTCATCCATATACCCCACCTAAAATGCCCTCGTCTCTATCTCTCTTCCACCGGAATTTTCCTGTTACTGGAGAGGATCCAAATTCGGCAAATACAATACTAATAATGTCATGTTTTTCAATATCAAAATGTTATTTCAACAAGGTCACGCCAGAGCGTTGTACATACTGTCCACTTTTTGTCTAATATTTTTATATTAATAATTTATTTTATATTTTTAATAAGAATTTAGGGTTTTTAGAGGATGTAAATTCGTAGGCCCGTGTCTTTTTATTTCTATGGAATTAAATCAAAACATGGGAATAGAGGCAAATAAGCCCTGGAACTAACCGAAAAAATGCAAATTCCCCCTTTTATAGGAGGCGTTGTCTGGCCGTCGCAATTTAGGGCGGTTCCCGGTGGAATTTTTTGATGACTTTTTTGAGCATCTTTTTAATTAAATCTAGTTTACTCATATCAAATTTCAGCTAAAAATGAAATCGAGAAGGCAGTCAAATAAATGTTTCAAGATAACTGCACAGTTAAATAACGCAGCATATTTCAGAAAATTATTTGAATGTCTTCCCGTTTGAATTTTTAGCTGAAATTTGGTATGGGTAAATTAGACTAAATGAAGAAGATTTTCAAAAAAAAATCATCAAAAACTTTCATCGGGAACCGTCCCAAATGACGATGGCCGGACAGAGCCTCCTATAAAAGGGGTGATTTGCAATTCTTCGATTAGTTTGAAGTCTTATTTGCACCTTTTCCCTAGAAACATTGAAATCATACATTTACACTTTTGTGTGTTACTATAATGATGATCATATGCATAGATGCACCTAGGGGTGGATTCGGGCCAGGTCGGGCCGCCGGTTCGTATCACATGGGCCCGGGACCGGCCCGAGGGTTGGACGGGTCCGGTTCGGGCCGGGCCACCCGCCCGGGTCACGGGTCAGGCCACCCGCCGGGCCGGGTCAGGTCGGTTAAATTTTTTGTTTTTTTTTTTAGTTTATATTTTATACTTTATAGTTTTTTACAAGTATTAAAAAACAAACTTCAAGTGCATTTATTTGAAATGAAATAGGAACTACATTTGAAAATTAAAACAAACTTCAAGAGACAAACATTTTGTAAATTGTAATCAATCGGAACTTCTCGCACCTCCCGATCCTTTGGCTTTGTCACATGACTTCATATGCTTCATTGTCATCTCGTATCCGCCTGAAACCCCCATGCTACATTTTTTCCCGCACCATTTACAAGTTGTGTACCACATCCCGGTCTTCGGGTCCTTTTGCTTATCAAAATTATACCGTATAACGGCATCTTGATTTTCCATCTTAAGTATAAAGTAGATATATAAATAATAAATTAGTAGAGAATAGAGATTAGAGAGTAGGAATATTTGGAGAAGATGTGTAGTAAATTGTATAGAAAAAATGGAGTATTTATAATTTTTTTGTACCCCTACCCACCCCCACCCCCACCCCCCCTAACCCACCCCTGGACCCCAGGAAGGCTCCCAACGGCTATATAGCCGTTTGGGTTCAATCACAACGGCTCTAAGGGCCTGTTTGGTAGCCAAAAGATTTTTTTTTTAAAATTATAGCCGTTGGCCCGAACCGGCCGAGCCGGGCCTTCCTTTTTGTGAACCGTGCCC